CTAGGATGTATATGTTATTCACATAGGACATTAGCCTGGCCTGATGGGCTTCACTGATACCCTGCTTTGTACTAAGACTTAGAACACACCCCAGTACATCCTTGTAGCTGACCACTGTACAAGAAGATGGACAGTCGTGGGCAGGAGCTCTTCCAGGCAGACTTGTCCTCCCATTACTGATCTATCTGTTGAAAAGCCATTCATATGATTCCAAAGTACCCTAGTTCCCCCCCCCAGGAAAACAGCCCAAAGACCATTGGAAAAATAAACTGCACTACTGCAGTATACATAACCATTTTAGAAAAGGACAAAAATATTTATTTTTTATGAATCAGCAACAATCTCATATTTCCCAACTGTTAAAATTCAGTAGATACCAAGAGAAAACTGAATAAAGTTGTGCATAATATATTGGAACAGATAATTGAAATATTTGTTTTAAATTGCTGCATCTTAAATAGGATTATAATGAGCACTGGCTGAGGATTTTCAAGTAGTGAGACATTAAAATGCAAATACTTCTTATGTGGAATGGAAGACTCTTGAAGTATATAATCTGGTCTCTGATGCTTGATAGCCATCATTTGCTATAGGCATGCTAAAAAAGAAACCCTCAGCTTTACATACCAAAGTGTTTTGCATTCAGCATAGCAATTATTAAAGTGGCAAAACTGTAGTCAATAAATGTTGATTACAGTTTCCTCTTGGGCTTTTTTTGCCAACTTCTGCACGCATTATTTTTCTTTGGGATGCAGAATTTAACATCATTATTTGATGGGTAAAATAGAAAATCATTTAAAGGTAGTGGATTAAAGATGTATTGCACATTGAACTTTGAATGAATTCATCATATGTTGATCTGTTGTAAACCATGAAGCAGTAATTTCAGCTATAGACTAAAGAAAATAGATCCCATGGAAACAAATTTCAGGCATTTCAAACTGCTATCGAACTCGATTTTTATTTAACTAAGCTAGAAATTAGAGGAAAATTTTCTACCAAGTTCTACCAGCTTCTGAGAGATTCGTGTGCAAAAAATATATATATATCTTGCACCAGAAAACTTAGAGTTGACATAAACATTGAAGTATACATAGTCAAAACCCGGCCTTATCAGTTCTACATGGACATGGAGAGTAGGAAACAAGACATAATAGGAGTAAAATGTGAGATATACCAGAAAATTGGATGGAGGGGGTGAACCACACTGGCTCTCAGGAGTGCAACAAACATAAGCTCATATCGTTACATCACTCCTGAGAGCCAGAGTGGTATAGTGGTTAAGAATGTCAGACTAGTATTTGGGAGACCCAGGTTTGAATCCCCATTTGTGCCATGGAAGCTCGCCCTGTGACCTTGGGTCAGTCACACTCTCTCTCTGCCTAACCTACCTCGTTGGGATGTAGTAAGGATAAAATGGAGGAGAGGAAAATGATGATGTAAGCCACTTTCCCATTGAGGAGAAAAGTGGGCTATAAATGAATTAAATTTAAAAATCCCCAAAATCTCCAGTTAAAAGGATCAGGTAATAAGTGGTGTAAAAGATCTCTGCATGAGACCTTGTGGAGCTGCTAGTGGAGTAGACAATAGGAGTGTGTACTGAAAAAATTATCATTTTAATTCTGTATTGTAATTTAAGAAAGAGGAGGAGGGACATAAATTTTATTAAGTATTTTCAATAAGACAAAACAATACTTATCACATACAAAACATACAACACAAACACATAACATACATGGGGGTAATTTAACTAATACATAATCGATTTTTATGCCAATAGTATCTAACTGCTATAACAACGTGTGTAACAAAAACTATCAGTAATCTTCTAGCCAATTTTGTAACTTTTGTACACGTCTTGAATATCCAGTCTCTTATCATTAAATATTATTGTAATGATTATACCACGTTTAGAATCTTGACCACGTATTTTGAAAAGTGGATTCTGTCAGACCTTTCAAATGTAAGGTCAGCTATCCATTTCTGCCACCTCCAAAAGTTTGTTAATAAGTTCTTTCTTCTTTGGAACTTCCAACATTTTCCAATATTTAGCATATAAGATTCTAGCTGTTGTAGTCAAATAAACAATAAGATATCGATCATCTTTTTTAGAATTGTCAGGCAATATATTTAACAACAATACTTCTGGGGTAAAAGGAACAGAGCAATCTAATATCTTTTGTAACATTTCATGTACCCATGCCTAAAATTTTTTGACTCTATCACAGTGCCACCATATATGATAAAAGGATCCCAACGTATTCTGACATTTCCAACATTTGTTAGAACACTTACTATTATATTTAGCTGACATCTCTGGAGTTACATACCATCTTTAAAACATTTTATATACATTCTCTTTATATGGGACCGCTTTTGTTATTTTAATATTTTTCTTCCACAGTTGAGCCCATTGATCAAGTTCAATATTGTGTCCTCAATATTGTGTCCTAAGTTTCATGCCCACTGAATCATATTAGTCTTTACAATTTCATCTGCCATCGTATAGTCAAGAAGATACGTATACATTTTCTTAATAAATCTTTGATCTGTAGATGTCAAAATCTTTTCAATCTCCAGCAAGTTTCATGGAAGCCCAACTTTTTATCTTTTAAAAGTCTAGATTCAATTTGAGCTCTTTGCCACCATGATAATTCCGGCAAAGGTTTTAGATTTAGATTAGAATCCAAGATAACAACATATCTTCTTACCTTCTCCTCAGTATAAACTCTAGGAAAAGTGAGTGCTTCCAATGGTGCAATTAATTTTGAAATTTTTATATAGAACTGTTTGTAGATTGGCTCCCATGCTTTCAATAAAGAAGAAGAGATTGGATTTATACTCCACCCTTCACTACCCAAAGGAGTCTCAGAGTGGCTTACAAACTCCTTTCCATGCTTCCCTTGCCAAATAAGTTTTGATATAACCTTGTCTAAGTCTTTGAAGATTTTTTGACATTGCAAAATTGGTATGGTTTGGAAAAGAAACAACCAGAACACAGATGAAGTAGGATTGCCAGGCCATGCTTGGCAAGGTGAGGGAGTACTGGTGGAGGCAGGGACATGAAAGGGGGGATCAGGGACAGCCTGATGTCATTTCAGGTGATTCCTAGAGAGACATGATGAAATGTAGAGGGAAACCCTGAAAGTGACTTCCAGGCCAATAACCATGGTGTGCAAAAGGGGGTGGTGCCCCATCAATCATTTGTCATGCCTTTCCAGCAGCATTAGGGGTTGGTGTGAAATCTATCTATCACAGTCTTTCAGGTGTAAATTTTCTATATAAAAGTGTGAATCCTGTCATAAATCTTCCAAGAGTGAATTCACTATACAATTGGCTAGAACAGAATTAGCAGTTAGCTGGGCTTTAGCCCTTCACTACCCAAAGGAGTCTCAGAGCAGTTTGCAATCTCCTTCCCCTTCCCACAACAGACACCCTGTGAGGTAGGTGGGGCTGAGTGAGCTCTTTCAAGATCTGCTTATGAGAGAACAGGTCTGAAACAACTTGTAACTGACCCAAGGTCACACCAGCAGCTGCATGTGAAGGAATGGAGAATCAAACCCAGTTCTCCTAGGCTAGAGTAGCGCTCCTAACCATTACACCAAACTGGCTATGCATGGGTGGAGGGAGCAAAATCATGTTGGAAAAAAACAGCGATTAAGGAATAAAGGGATAAAAAAGGAGTTGCATCAGACTCAGAAGAAAGTAAAGAAAAAGACAGAGAGAACAGGACAGAGTTTCACAATAGTCCTGTAGAACTCTTATTGCTGAGGAAATTATTTTTGATAGAACAGGAGACAAATAATAAGGAATTTAGGTCCAGAGGTAAATAAGCACAAATATTCTTTTCTGCTAATATATGCTAATCCACAGGAATCTCATTCACAGGGCACTGTTAGAAGCCTTGAGTTAGTGATTTACTGAGAAAAGAAGGTTGAATTTACAGTTGCAGGTTTCAGTACCTGGAAGAAGGCTCTCATACTTCTTTAATTCTGCAAACGAAGTAAAACAGTTGCTTGGGAGGGTATTTTATAAAGATTATATAGAGCAGGACTATAGTCTATGCCACAGTGTATGCTATATATCATTGATTTGTTGTATGTTCTATCATGCTCTTACAGCATTGTTTTCATTTTCGCGTTTTATTCGAGGTCGCTATCTGCAGCGGAAAATAACTACGCCCAAATTGACAAAGAGGGGTTGGCGTTAGTATCTGCTGTAAAAAGGTTTCATGACTTTTTATTTGGGTGAAAGTTTCTTTTGGTCACAGACCACAAACCCTTGTTAGGGATATTTGCCCCGGACTGGCAAACCCCTAATATACTGTCTCCTCGGATGTTGCGGTGGGCGATTTTCCTCACCGCATATGGTTATGACATTGAGCACAGGCCAGGCAAGGCAATCGGACACAAACCTCAGTCGCTGCCCTCTACCCGGCCAGGACACGGACCCTGCTCCGGCTAGCAAGGTGCTGGCCATTGATGAACTACCTGAGGCCCCAATCTCATCAACGGACATTGCTGCTGCGACAGCTAAAGACAATGTACTCGCCCGAGTTTTGAACTGGGTGTGGAGGGGGTGGCTGGCAGGTACCGTGGAGCCAGAATTCAAACCTTATCGGGCGCGCCAAAATGAACTTTCAGTGTCAAAAGGGTGTGTATTGTGGGGGAACTGGGTGGTGGTGCCTCACAAACTCCAGGAGAAAGTGCTGAAATCACTGCATGAGGGCCATGAGGTCCACATGAAGGCGTTAGCCTGAGGGTATTTGTGGTGGCATGGCTTAGACACTGACATTAGGGAATGGGTCAAAGTATGTATGCCCTGCCAGCAGGCCAGGCCCGAACCGCCTACCGCCACTCCACAGAAGTGGGAATCAGCGGGAAAGCCTTGCAGCAGGAAAGCCTTGGTCCAGGCTCCACCTGGATTTCGCGGGGCCTGTGCAGGGACAAATGTTCCTGATTGTAGTTCACGCATACTCTAAGTGGCTGGAGGTGGCGCACATGACCTCCACCACTTCGACTGCTGTCATCAACGTGCTGCGTCGCTTGTTTGCCACCCACGGACAGCTGGACGTGTTGGTGAATGACAACGGCGCACAATTTGTTTCTCAGGAGTTCAGTCAGTTCCTGTCTGATAACGGAATCAGGCAACTGACATCGGCTCCGTTCCACCCGGCCTCTAATGGCCAGGCAGAAAGAATGGTCCGAACGACCAAAGAAGCCCTTGCCAAGCTAATGCAGGGCGATTGGGGGGTAAAACTGGCCTCGTTCTTACTGCGCCAGCACGTTACCTCGTGCTCAGCCACAGGCCGCAGCCCGGCCGAGCTGCTGATGGGGCATCGCCTTACTACCTTGTTAGATCGTCTCCATCCAGATCTGAATGATCTTAAGCCCCAGCAGCAGAGTGTGCTCCCTAAGGTCCGCACTTACGAACCCGGTGACAAGGTATTCAGCCGTAACTATTCAGGGGGTCACTTGTGGCTACCAGCCACTGTAATTGTATGTCTCGGTTCCAGAATGTATGTGGTTGAGCTTGCTGATGGACGCAAGTGGCGACACCACATAGACCAGCTTAGGCAGCGGTGGGCAAAGGAATGCCTAGACTCCCAGCCAGCTGAGTCCCCAGAACCAGAGGACCATCCCAGACCTCCTCCGGAGGTGAGTACTGCCGAGCCCAGTACTGTCCCAGTGGTAGGGCAGACCCCTAACTGCGGACCCGCAACAGAGGACGGAAGTGTACCTGACTCTGACGTTCCAGAGTCAAGTGGAGTCCCCCAAGCTGAGCTATGCCCTGAGCCTACACAGCCACGTAGGTCTCAGCGGGTGTGCTGAGCACCAACCTACCAAAGCGATTATGACTGCACATGATTGTGTTTACTTAGGGGGGAGGAATTTGTAGTGTATTCTGCCTTGAATGCATGACATATTGTGAAACATCTAACTGAACTGTAATGTTAAGCTTCATCCTGGGCTAGGATCCAAATCCATCCAATAGTATTGCTAGCCCAGGAAGTAACAAGCCAATCACTTCAAGCGAGCTCCCTGAGCAGGAACTAATGTGATTGGACCTTATCTTTGCAACCTCATAGGTTGATATTTGTACAATGGGTGTGGCTACATTAGCCGGGAATGTTTAAAAGCAGGACAGCTGCAATGTAAAGGCTGTTCTGGCTATCAGATATTGATCCGTGTTGGAGTTGTGTTCGAGTTGAAGAATAAAGTTGTGTTCTTGCTGAATCACTCTCCGACTGCTTTGTTAAGCGAGCGACTTAACACTTGAAATACCAGAGATGGGAGGCAGGGGCAGGTTTTATTCGGCCACGTCTCTGAATATCCTCCAGGCCCCTGTTAGGGGTCAGTCACCAGAGGTCACCATGTCTTCTAGGTGCACATATGAAATTACAAAAAATACCCCCCCCCAAGAAAAAAAGAAAGCTCTGGGCAGTAATTTGGATTTTCTGCAAACATATAAATCAGAAAGTGTTCCTGTGTCCTAAATGGACCATTATCTGATTTAGCATATTTATTTTGACTTATACTTAGATACTGCAGCCTTTGTCCTATCTGGGAAGGACATTTTAGGGTAGAATGCTACAGAGGGGGCATTAGGCATTGGCCATATCCAGGGGTCGTTTCGTGGGAAAAGAGCTAGGGGAACTCATTAGCATAACTCATTAGCATATGCCACACCCCCTGACATCACCACCGATCCCCACGAGGGGCCCGGCGGTGGACCTGCAAGGCCAGCGGGAGTGCAAGGAAGCCCCGCGAAGGCCCTCCCTGGCCCCAGGCAGGCAGGGGTGGGGAGAGGCTGGGAGGAAGCAACTTACCCTCCCTCTTCTCCTGCCTCCTCCTGGCTGAATGAGGGCTGGAAGTGGGGCGGCCGGAAGCAGGGGGCGGGGCTTCGTCATGTGCCCCGCCCCCTGCACCTCACCCGGGGAACTGCATTCCCCCGCGTTCCCCCCCCCGACATGACCTCTGGCCATATCCCAAAACAGGCCTCCTAAGGAGGACACGTTTCCACATTGTAGCTGCCATTGCCTAGAGTAAATAATTAGCTTCCAACAGTGGAACAGAGGATGCCAAGTTCTCAACATAGAAATATTTTGCAGGAAACAAACTCTTGTTGAACAAGTGAAAAATCAAGACATTTTCACACATTCAGTCAGAGTTGAAACCTATTGAGGCTTTTGGAATTGCTTGACAAGTAGATAGAATTTTCTCATCACTCATGTCAAACTGAATTGCTCACTTCTCTAATTAGAGCCCAACTACAGAATTGGTCATTAATTCTAAGTGTCAAAATCAGGCTCTTGGAAATTACACATTTTGATTGGCCTTCACGCTTTGGTTGCCAAGTGGAGGGTAGTTTCAGGGTTTGTGTATGTATGCGTGCATAATGTCCTCTTCAGGAAATGTCGGTAGGTGAATGCCAAATTCAGATGTTTCTTAGTTCTATTGCCATAATTTAAAGTTAATTTTATGACATACCTGAAGGTTTTTTCCCCCATATGCACGTGTCTGCAACAAAATGTCTTCCAATCCCTCAAAAATGCCTTTGGGTTGTTTTTATAAAAGCTTCCATGGGATTCATTCTGACAAAGTGTGATTCTGGTTATCTACATAACCTCTGGAATCTGCTCCTCTCCCATTTCCTTCTGCTTCCAGCACTTTTTCCTCCTTTGGGTTGTTTGACTTCTGAAACTTTGTCTTGGCAGCTTATTGGCAAATGGTGTGCAAATGAAGGACATAGGGTTCCCAGGTCTGGGTTGGAAAATACCTGGAGACTTTGGGGGTGGATCCAGGAGAAGGCAGAGTTTGGGGAGGGGAGGAGCCTCAGCATGTTACAATGCCATAGAGTCCTCCCTCCAAAGCAGCCATTTTCTCCAGGGGAGCTCATCTCTGTCAGCCGGCGATCAGTTGTAAAAGTGGGAGATCTCCAGGTCCCACCTGGAGACTGGCAACTCTAGAAGGACGGGAAGGAACTGAGATCATTTTCAGGGTTGAGGAGCATCTTTGGATTGGCTTTTGCATTTCTGTTTCAAAGGGCTCATGGCCCTTTGGCTCCTAGCCCATGCCTTGCAGCCTGCATCTTCGATGTTTGTTTGTTGTTTACTGCTCTGTTTATATAGTATTCTTCTGTTGTAAGCCATTTTAGATCCCCGTGGGGAGAAAAGTTGGGCATAAACACTTAGAATAAATAAATCAAAAACATATAGCTGCACTCAGAAAATGAATCTTTCCTGCCTCCTTCCACCTGTAGCCACAAGTCCCTTCCCCAATCCAAACCTGAAAGTCAAGTCACATTCAGGAATGAAGGACACTGCAGTATGGGAAGGGAAAGTTAATGGAACTCATTCTGCCTTCTTGTGTGAGTGAAAGTGCCCTTATGCTCAAGCAAGAGGGACCCTGGATCCAAACCATAATGTGTGATCGATCATAGTAAGACGTCTTAAAAATTTCTATCTATTGTATGTTTATCAACTCTTCCTCCAAAGCTCTTTGGGTAGAAGCAGAGTTTTGCCCTCCTTTTGTGGATGAGGGAGAAAATCCCTAGCCCATTTCACTCAGGTAGTTTGATGGCTGAGTGAGGATTTCAGTTTCTCCCTAACCCTTGTCTGACACTTTAAACATTATACTGCACTGGTTTCCATTTAAAAAATCTTAATTAAAATTGAGATATGTACCTATTTTCATAAAAATCAATCTTATATGGAAAATTAAATCTTATAAAGTACAGTGCTTCTCTCCTGCCTGTAAGATATAGTTCTATATCCAATATGGGTCTTTAAGAATTGCACTATTAAAGACTTCTCCTGTGGCAGCTACTAGCAGCTATGGAGGTGCAGGAGCAACAGATAAAAACAGATTTAAAACGTGAGACTGACAGAATGAGTAATTTAATGATACGAATGTGGGTTGGTGGTGATTCTTCCCTGTCCCCTTTCCTTGAACACATGGTTACGGAAAATGACACTAGGCAAGGAATGAGGAGGACTTCAAATTTTCTTCCAGCATTTCTCCCTGCAGTTTGAATTTAAATATGTGAAGCAGTTTCATCATCTTTCTGCAGGGAAAACACATTTGTATTTCTGCTCATCCTATACCTCTGTAGATAGCAAAAGAGAAAGGCAAGGAATAACTGCTTTGGAAGGATGAATGTGTATGTTGGTCTGTGATTTGCAACCACACATGTATCTTACTTGTGAGAGCTCAACTGAAATCACACATCATTGGATCACCTGTCGTTTCCTTGTGGAAACTGTCAGATTCAAAATAGGGTTGCCAGACCCCCACTGGGGGGGCAGGGGAACTCCCACTTTTGTGGGGTGCTTCCCCACCGCCGCCCAACTGGCCAGCAGGGGGAAATTCCACCCCCAACTGGCCCAAAGGCAATGTGGTTATGTCTCCCTGTATACGTGGCCATGAAGGTCCTTCATCTTCCTTAGTATTGTCTCTCCTTTCACTCCCAATGTGAAATCTAAGCATCTTGATAATGTGAAAGCAGAAGTCAAAACATTATTTCCATGAATGACTGCGTCTAGCTAGGATCCAAGATTTACTTGCATGGAGCAATATTTGGTTGTTTTTCAGAATAGCTGTATACAGATACAGTTTGGTGTAGTGGTTAAGTGTGCGGACTCTAATCTGGGAGAACCGGGTTTGATTCCCCACTCCTCCACTTGCACCTGCTGATGTGACCTTGGGTCAGTCACAAGCTCTGGCACAGCTGTTCTTGAAAAAGAGCAGTCTCTGTCAGAATTCTCTCAGCCCCACCTACCTCACAGGGTGTCTGTTGTGGGGAGGGGAAGGGAAAGGAGTTTGTAAGCCGCTCTGAGACTTCCTTGGGTAGTGAAGGGGGGGGTATAAATCCAATCTCTTCTCTCTTTTCTTCTTTTCTAGCTGTATTCAGGTATTTCTAAGCTTTCTGTCAGCAATACGCTGTGTGGATTTGAGATGTTGCAATGGCCTTGGTCTATGAACAGTGAAATGATATCATTTGCAGCTCAATTCAGCATGGTGAAAGAGCTCATCAATGTGGATAATTGCAACTAAATGTGATGGGGAAAGGAAGGAAGATAATAGTAATGATATGCATGCATAATCTTTTGAGTCAAATCTTTCTGAATAAAGGTTGCATATGACCCATGGCATATATTTCAAAATAGGCACCATTCGCTTATTTGAAATCTGAAGACTATTTCCCACTGATGTACAACTTGCAAAGCACTTGCTGTTACCAACAATAAATAAAAGAGAAAAAGATTATTCATAATATAGATTAAAGCTGCAATGCTAGACATAGCTTGTAGGAAATTCCAAGGAATTTAGTTGGATTTGTATCTACATATACATATTAATTGTCCCATCCTCTGTGTGTTTACTTCAAAGTAAGTCCTGTTATGTTCAGTGGGGCTTCTTCTCAGGCAAGAACTGAACAACATGGGGACTTACAGTCAGATGTCAGCTACAGGTTCCCTGTGAGAATTCAGTTTTCAAGCACGCGGGGGCCTGATTTCAAATGAGACCATGGCACATGGGAAGAATAGGGTCACCAGCCCCCTGACAGAGCCTTGAGTTCCACCAGAATTCCAACTGACCTCCAGACTACAGAGATCAGTTTCCCTGGAGAAAATGGCAGCTTCAGAGGGTAGTCT